CTATGCATTATGCAGCGGCAAGAGGTTGTTTGGATTGCGTGCAACTATTGGTAGCAGCATCAGCTGATATTTGGTAAGTACCAACATCAATCATTATTTTGTATCAGTAAATAACAACAACAAGACGGTGAGCCGTGTGTGTAACACCTTGTTGTTCGCAAAGGTGTAATATTTGTTGGAGGTTGGCTGCATTTGAGATCGGAATGCAAATAATGAAATCAATGGCTGTTGCAGTTGTTCATGTAATATTTATTTGGCAGAAAATTAAACTTTTTTTTGGTATTTTTATTTGTTATTAAATATGGGCAATTAATTATTGCATTTGTTGTTGTTGAGCGTGAAATAAATCAAATTGAAATGTTTATAGCACTTGGAAGAAGCTATGAGTAATTTTATAAATGAAAATATATAATAAATATTTAACGCAGAAATAAATATGACTGTAAATCAGTGGAATAGGGTTTATTAGGAAATTTTTAGCGAATGGGACATTTTAGTGAGCCAAACACATATCTTCGTTTTTCCTAAAAATTACATATGAAGAGCTCTGAATATTTATAAATGAAAGCAAATGACATTTCAGAAAAAGTTATCGTTTTGAAAAATGTCAACTCCAACCACAATTTTCAATTAACATAGAGATTATTTTTTCTTATAGTCTTTTTTAAAACAATCCGCTAACTGATTGAGATTCTTGGACTATGGTATTTTATCGTGTAAAATACACAACAATACTATTATATTTATAGCCTCAGTCCAGCGACTGACCCCGAATAAATAGTGTATTGTATAGAGCTCTATACAGGCAACCGCATACGTACTTGCCTGTATAGAGATCTAGGAGTCCCGACCTAATCGAAATGATTTTCTTTTTTGCAATATGTTTACTTTGGTAAAATCGACCATTGCATCAGCGAGAAATACTGAACGACCTAGACCAAAAAAAGTCCAGAGAGTTCTATACATGGAACTATTTATATTAATCCATCTGGAAGATCTGGTTTGTTTCTGGTACACCAAATTATATAAAACAAGTGAAAACCAGTAAGGAGCGTAGTAAAGTCGGACGGGGTCGACTATATTATACCCTTCACCACTATGGGTATATTAAAAAGATGTATCCTAACTAAAATATGTGACCTTCGATATTGGTTCGATTTCAACAGAACTTGGCGCACGTTATGTTATAGTAATTTCAGTACGTTGTGCAAAATTGTGTGTCAGTCGGCCATATTTTGGGGATTTGGTGTATCATTTATTGAAAATCGGACTAAACTATATATGGGAGCTATATCTAAATCCGAACCGATTTCAGCGAAACTTTCCACACAGTAGCAAATTTTGTGTTATTCGGCAATATTTTGCAGCTTTGGTGCTATATCCAAATCTGAACCGATTTCAACAAAACTTGACACACGTTATGCTATAGAAACTTCAGTACGTTGTGCAAAATTGTGTGTCAATCGGCCATATTTTGGGGCTTTGGTGCACCATTTACTAAAAATCGGACAAAACTATATATGGGAGCTATATCTAAATCTGAACCGATTTTTCCCAATTTCAATAGGGTTCGTCCTTGGGTTAAATAAATGAGCTGTGCCAAATTTCATCCAATTCGGATCATAAATGCGACCTGTACTTTGTTTACAATTAAGCATAGACAGACGGACGGACATGTATAAATCGACTCAGAAAGTGATTCTATGCATATTCTCGTTTCCTTTTGCCTGTTACAAACATATGCACAAAAACATAATACCCTGTACAACAGTATGGTGAAGGGTATAAAAAGCGTTAAGTTCGGCCCTCCACCATAGGCATACTGACAGGAAGTTGAAATGAAAATATAGGGAACATACCAAAAAGTGGACCTATACCGAAATTTCTACAAACAGATTTATGTAAACCATAGTGTGCACCAAATACAAATTTCAGAATTTTTCAGTGTAGATTTTGACGTCGCATCGTAAGGTGGGGCATAGCCAAAATACAGCAATTTAGAGGGCACAGTTATATGAGGCCATAACCAACATACGGTGGTTTTATTTCGGGAGGTTGGGTGGAAGCTGTTGTTTCAATATGAAAATTGGTATTGCAGAAAAAAATTGTATGAGTACGTCCATGAAGGCTATACCTAAAGCGGTATTAATGTTGATTACATCGTGTAGGAAATACCGAACATTTGTAGTTATCATTATAATTGAGGACTGATATAACTCTATTTCGAAACTAAAATTTTTGCATCACAATATTAAATATAAAAAATACCGAAAATGAGTGGTTATCTTTGTATGGGCGATAGGCCTAAATGGGGCCGATATATATCATTCACGAACCTAGCATTGTAGTTTTTTTATCTCGATATCTTCCATGTTAAGATGGTTATAAGAGATGACTAACTCGTCTTAGAATTCCATACTTTCGAGTACAGAATACTCCTCTACTATGACGGAGTACGGCTATATGGGGATAAACCCAAAACGTGGGAGCTATGCCTATTGTGGACCGATATAGCCCATCTTCGAACTTGACCTGCCTGCAGACAAAGAACGACTCTATGCAGATGACTCTATTTCAATTCGTTTAGAGGCTAGAGTGACAAATTTGACTCTTTCGTGTATTCGAACGAAAATATATGGAAGCCGATCTGAACCGATTTTCACAAATTTTAATAGGGTTCATTCATGGGGCAAATAAATGCTCTGTGTCAAATTTTTCCTCATTTGGATAATAAATGCACTTTGTTCACAATTTCACATGGACAGACAGATGGACATGCACAAATCGACTCAGAAAGAGATTCTATGTATATGCTCAAAAGTAACCATGGGTCTATCTCGTTTCCTCTTGCTTGTTACAAACATATACATGAAGACCTAATACCCTGTACCACAGTGTGGTAAATAGACGAAATATTTTCGTCCGATTTAAGGTAAATCGGTCTCCAAAGTCCTTATAAATCCTTCGATTTGCACGAAATTTGGCATAGGGTACTGAATTGGGTAAAGAATTATGTGTGCTAAGTTTCGTGACAATCGGTCCAGACTTAGATATAGCTCCCATATATATTTTCGTCCGATTTAAGGTAAATGGGACACCAAAGTCCCTATATATCTTTCGATTTGCACGAAATTTTGCATAGAGTACTGAATTGGGTCCGGAATTATGTGTGCTAAGTTTCGTGACAATCGGTCCAGAGTTAGATATAGCTCCCATATATATTTTCGTCCGATTTAAGGTAAATTGGGCACCAAAGTCCCTATATATCTTTTGATTTGCGCGAAATTTAGCATAAAGTACTGAATTAGGTCAAGAATGACGTGTGCCAAGTTTCGAGAAAATCGTGTCAGATTTATATATAGCTCCCATATAGGTAAATGGGTCTCCAAAGTCCTATATATCTTTCGATTTGAACGAAATTTGGCATAAGGTACTGAATTGGGTCCAAAATGATGTGTTCTATGTTTGGGCGACCCGCACACAATTTTGTACAATGTACAGAAGTTACTATAACCTTTCGTGTGTCAAGTTTTCTTGAAATCGGTTCAGATTTACATATTGCTTCTATATATACTTTCGTCCGAATTTACGTAAATGGTGTACTAAAGAAATTAGTACAATTAATATAATATAAATCTCGGGCAAATTTCCTTGAAGTCGGTTCAGATTTAGATATAGCATATATCGACCTATTCATGTTGGTTATAAACCAAATAATCAATGGGTGCTTGATTGATATTACATTTTACCACGTTGACGGGCAGTTGCGTCTATAGCCGTCAAGTTCCAGTTCACTATGTGACATGACGGCTGTAGCAGCACAAGTGTGCATTTACTAGCGTACAGGTAGAAGCCTAGTGTCATGTTTTCGAATTTAACTTGTTTGTACTGTCCGTCAACGTGTTAAAAAGTGAAGCATACAAATAGCGTAAAGTTTGTTTAAAGTCTATTTACAAATTGTGGAAAGATTGCAGAATTTCATGTGTAAGGATTGATGTTAGTCGGTTTACTTATAGATAAAGATCGCATCCTTCGAAAAGACGACATCTGTAAAGATACATATGAAGAATGTCCCCAAAGTGGTGAAGGGTATCATATAGTCGGCCCCGTCCGACTTGACTACTTTCCATACTGGTTTACTTCTCACTTGGTGGCAAAATGTTTGTACTAAAAATTACGCTATCGGTCCACGATTAGACAAATCCCCATATAAGGTAGTACACATTTTTATTTAAATGATCTTCGAAATGTTTTCAACCTAGCTTGCTCAAATTTGTTATTTACGTTTTCATTGGGTGACAAGTCTTTCCAGTAAAAATTATAAATAACTGTCGATATTTTGGTATAGTCCCAATATAAAGGTCCAGCCTCTTTATACTTACTTTTAGCATTACAAAGTCGCAATAATTTGTCTTTAAGGAACCTTGGCGGATAAACAACTTCTTTACCTAAAATTTTTAATATAATTCAATGTTTATACAAGGCCACGAGCCATTTTTTAAGATCCCAGCCAAATTTTCTAACATTTATGTCTGTAGTTTGTTATTTCATTTTCTCTTGCAGCAAATTACCATGGATGGTGTTTTGAATGTTAAAATGAATTAAAAAGTTATTTCACTCTTCTAAGACTATTTTCCTGAATCAATGTATGATATCTTAAATATCCAAATAATTTATAGAATGCTGACAATGCACGGGTTTCCTTTATCGGATACCAGATTTCTTTATTAATGTGTATTAGAATAATTCTAATAGGAAAATTGATTTACAATCTAAATTTTAACTCTCACCACTCACAATTTATCTGATTTCTCTTCTATTTAAATTTCTCCAAAACACACGTATTATTATACAATTAATTATTAATTACCCTTATTAAAATACACTTGAAGTCTAATAACAATATAAATGACAATAATAATTTAAATATACATTATTTTTGAAATCACTACAAATTTCAACACAACATGACACTTGACAATAATTTGCAGCTAATATTAACATTGTCTCTGGTTTTATTCAATTATTTAATTAAACAGTTAAATGTGCAAGCAATAAATAATAACATAATTG